ACCCTCTCTCACTGTCACATTTGTCACAAAACATTTGGAGCTCCTTCCAACATCACGTGTGGAATTACCCTCCCTCTCCACTTGCTGCTACATCACATAATAAATTTCTTTAGATCCAGCACGAAAATAACAATCTTGTATCGAAGGATCACTATGACGTTTCATGATCTCTATTCCTTCCACCTTGCTGTCATTGTTGTTATGGAACCTAACTGTACATAACCTATCTAGAATATAGATTTCACATTTAATGAAACTCAAATTGCCGAATTCAATACCTTATTGTGCGCTTGTCGTATGCCCATATTATATTAACATTGATTTTAGTCAATATCTCTTTTTGTAAACGATACCTTCTTAAAGGTCGTTGAAAGTTAAATGAAAATGACCTTAACGACATACACGAAGGTCAAAATCATCGATGAAGGTGTCCCTTGATATGCACAATGGTCAAGAACTTTTTATAGAGCATTTATATCTGATTATTTTTCTCGTGATCACGCATTAATTGATTAAAATTAAAATTTATCGAAGTGTGAAGATTACCTAGTCGACCGAAAAGTTCCACCCCTAACGCGGCAAAAATGAAGAAGAGCAAGAAAAACAATAGTCCCAGGTTGCCAACCTGCGGCAATGCCTGCATTACCGTATCCAAAAGAGCACGTATACCCTTCGCCATTTTCAAAAGCTTCAGCACTCGGGCTATCCGTAGCACTCTCATTACTCGAATTATCGTTGGATTAATGGGGATGATCTTGGACTCGACTTCTTCCAACACAATACCGACCACCGACAGTATCACTATTCCCACATCTAATTGATTCCATCTGCAAAAAAAGTATCATATAAAGTCATAAAATTTCTTTTACAATATCATCATTAATGCTTCAATTCGTAAAACTAATGTGAACACAGTAAACACGATGGCGTCTGACAAGCAACGCGTCAAGCACAGTTTGCTCTTCACGTTTCAGTTGAAAAAAAAGAAATATGTTCGAGGCAAAGAAAATTGATTTGCGAGGCATCAGGGGTGTGTCTTCCGGCACGTGTGACGTCGGGCCAAGATCGGTTGTTCTACTGCACGATAACGTGAGGCTACACACGGCGAAAGCGACCAAGGACACCCTTGATTCGCTGGGAAATTTCGCCACATCCGGCCGGTATTCACCAGATTCAGCCCCGTCAGATTTTCACTTGTGCCGGTCCCTCCGACACTATTTAACAAATTCTCACTTCGAAACATTCGACAAATGCATCACCGATCTTATCGACTCCAAACCGGTGTTCTTTCACCGAGCGGGGATTCCTACCCGAAAGATGGCAAAAATGCGTAGACGTTACTGGAGATTACTTTGTCGATCAAAGTGTTTTCCGAGTTTATACAAATGAACGTTAATTTTCGCTTGAAAAAGGCCAAAAATTAATTCGTACACTTGATACATTTACCGAAACGCATACTCACTTGTCCTTCAGATAAAGCTGCAGGCCGAGAGCGACGAGCTTCATGAACGACTCGAGGATAAAGACGGCGGTGAAGAAGTAGTTGAATATCTTGAGCGCATACGTGAGCGCCTTCGGCATCATATAAAACTCCATCGCCATCGTGACGACGTTGAGACCGATCACGGCCGCGATCGCCAAGTCGAAATACTTGGACGTCACGACGTTGTGTACGAACAATCGCGACTTGGAATAGCTGGTGTAATACGGCGGCTCGTGCATCTCTGAAAAACATCGGCGTTACAGACACGGCTCCTTCGGGTACGCGCAGTGTGATGTAGAAGTGGAATTAACCTATCTGAGCCCGCGGCCACTCACTTCGTCTCTTTTTCTCCATCTGCAACGCTCGTTTCGCCGCTCTGCGCACACGTTCCTCCTTCTCCTGCTCTTCGCGGCACCTGTGAAAATTCTCCACCACCACGCCGACGAACATATTCAACACGAAGAAACCCACCAGCAGTATGAACGCGATGAAATACAACAATCGCCACTCGGAGTAATTTTCGACAGGCTGCAATCAGTTTTTATTTTACAGATCGTTGGCGGATCCCACGGAGAAATTTTAATTCAGATGTAATCGTTCTCGCGGATATCAGAAACGAGAACCGCGCGAATAAATGAGGAATATCTCCTTCTCGATTATTAAAAGACGACAATTTCGGAAAAAATTGTAATATTGCTTTGGATTTGCCTGTCGGGTTGAAATTGCTTTTTTTGTGGATTTGTTTCCAATGATAAACGCACCGACTCGATGGAAATCCGCAAAAAACGTAGCTCCAAGCCGATAGTTAAATTCAATATTTCTCCGCATCACGTAAGTTTCAAACAGGGACCCGGAACGAATGAAAATATCGGTCTGAGTCCGGTTTCGATCCGCTAAAATATTTAACAAAAGTTCTGATTTCGATTCCGGACAATGTATCAATCATCGTTTAAATTGCGATTTTTTCCAATTCCGGTTCTTTAAACTTGTTTCCTTATTGAAATTTTTATTGAATCCAATTATACATATATACAATAGCGCTCAAAAGTATTTTGATAAAGACAATAATTAGGTTAATTAAATAAAACATATATTTGAACTATCTTTTGTTGGGAAAAAAAACTAAATAAACTAAAGAAACTAAATAACTTGTCAAAATACTTTTGAGCGTTATTGTGTGTGTGTGTGTGTGTGTAATTAAAATAATTAGGTAATTTGTACAATTCAGAATGATTGTGTTTTTATGCATCCCAAAATTGTAATATATTACTTCTTTTATTAATTTTCTGCCGTTCAATATCGTAAGTTTGAAGATTATTTTCTATTTGTCGTGATAACCATTTAACATGCTGTTTTTTCACAAGAACTAGAATTTTATTATGAAATGAATAAAACCGAAATAATGAAACAAAAAGAGCCGTAAAGTGAAAAAAAAATGTAATGGTTCCGATTTCGGTTCCGGTTCTTATAGGTTTTATAAAATTTCGGTAATATAAAAATCAATACGATTTACGGTTCCGGTCCGATAGAAATACCAGTTTCCATATGGTTTTCGATTTTCGATTCCGATCAGGGTCCCTAGTTTCAAATAATAAATGTGTAGAATTACAGAAATAATTTGTTCACACACTCTGGATGAGTTAATGTATTTTTACGTGACAAATCGATACGTTAGAGAAGTAGATAAATATTTATTTCTCCTCGTAACGAATCTCCTTCACCTGCTGATCGACTCCAACCGCGTCCAAGCCGGTATACATGATGTTCACCCAGCCGTCTCGCGATGACAAGACGAACAGTGACATGAGGGCTTTACCGAGATCGTCGAAATTGTACTTTCTATTCAGCCACAAGTTTCGCTCGTCGGCTAGACAGTCCGTCTTATTACGTACATTCTTGATGTCGGGGCCTTCGCAATAATAGAAAGCACCCTTAAAGAGTTGCACTCCGAGGATACCAAAAATCACGAAGAACGTGCAACAGATCAAGACGATGTTGCCGATGGGCCGCAATGAAGATAACAAAGTCTGAACGACCAGTTTTAAACCCGGCGCGCGATTGATGACTCGCAGGGGTCTCAACGACCTCAGAAGCCGAAAAACCTACATGATTGCAGGAATAATTCCGATTAGAACAAAGCATTTGTCGCCAGTGAAGCTAAATTTTTAATAAACATCAAGTCGAGCTACTTTCTTAACAATTGTTGAGAAAAAATGTGAAATATTAGGTATACAAATTAATTCGGCGCCTTTGTATTTAATGTCCTGTAACTCTGGTTCAAATTAAAATTTTTTTCCTGTCCTATGATTTGAAAGTGCTAACCTTAAGCTTTAAGAAGCATTATAATAGTTGACAGCCTTGCCGACATAACTTTAGAAAACAGTAGTTATCACGATTGTTCGAAAAGAAGCATCCGAGGTGCTATATTCCTTTTGCACTCCAGTTGAATAAAAATGCTACTCAATTTACCGAAATAATTTGTTTCGCTTTAGGCGAAGGCGCTGTGACTTATAAAACTTATAAAAAGACCCTTTATCGGCAATGGAACTAGGCAGGTGATTCTGCTGAATGATAACGCGCGGTCACATACCGCAAAAGGGACGAAGGATCTCATCTGTACATTAGGTTGAGAAATTCTTCCTTATGCAGCTTATTCGCCAGATCCAGCCTCGTCGGATTACCACCTATTTCGGTCGTTTCAACATCATTTGGCGGATTACGTATTTTAAAACAGTTGATGAGGTCCGAGAAAGCATCGATGACTTTATTGAGTCAAAACCGTCAAGTTTTTTTCCGTGAGGACATTCATCAGCCACCCGATAAATGGAGTAACGTCATAGAAAATAATGGAAATTATTTCGAACATTAAACTCGTACCTGATTTTTTGTAAATAAACTTTGAATTTCATGAAAAAAAGACCCCGAATTAATTTGTACACCTAATACATCCCTCTCTCATTCCTCTTCCCCCCTCCCCGCTTTCTCTTCCTCTCCTTCTCCCATGTCAAATATTCGGAAATCGCGATGACATAAACTTACCCTCAATATTCCAAATATTCTCGGGCTACTGGACGAGAGTAATGACATCGACAAGTCAATTATGGAAATGATAACGAGAGATCCGTCCATGATATTCCAGCCGGAGGTAAAATACGCATCCGAACCGTACAACATACCTGACGCGACAACCTATATATCGCAATAAATAACATTATCGAAATACGACTTAAGGTTTCTTTTTTGGGAATCGTAATCTCACGATAATTTCTAATCTCTCCTATTTTCACGAATTTTCTTGAAACAAAATTTTATTAAAGATATGGCAACATATTTTATCATACTGATTATATATTACCTTGATAAACATCTCAATGGCGAAAACGGCGGTGAAAATGTAATTTGCGGTAGATAAGAAAAGTCTCTCGCGGCTGTCCGGCGGTATATTTGGCCGTTCCATCGCCAGAGTGATGCAATTCAATCCAATGAACAACAGGACCACATTGTCGAACCACTTTTGGTCGACGAACCATCGACACAAAATACGAAACCTGCGGTATGCGAGAGATATTTGTAAGTCTCTTTCATATATTCATCGTATATTCTTTAATTATATAAAGAGAAAAAAGTTTATCAATTACTTATACCAAATTAACATAATTATAATATACGTACAAAAAAATATAATATATGTACATCACAGTCACAGTGTCACAGTACATATATATTAGGTGGTTGCATAGAATTTTTAATGTTGTCGTTAATCAATGAAATAATGAAATGAATGATCTCTAAACATCTTGATTTACTATCTCAATCCTTCTCGATTGTTATTTTTCGGTTAGGCAATTTTCTTGATTACGAAATTTTCAAGCCGGCTGAATAGCGATATCAACTTATAGCGTTACCTATTGTTAGGTGGGAACAGATATAAGGAATAATCGTCACGCTCCTTTAGGCAGCCCTTAGGTTCGAAGAACATAAATATCTTCTTGATCCTCTCGATGCTGCTCGCGCTCCCGTGGCCGTTCGACGGCGGTGTCTGCTCGCCCGTCCTCGGGTGTTCCTCTTCCTGCTCGGGAAGTCTCTTGATTTTCGGCAGTGGGGCAGCCTCCATCGAAAGATTGTTGATCGTACGGGGAGTCGAGGACGGTGCGAGCATCTCGTCCAGCGGCAGCGTCTTCTTCACAGACGTCTCATGAACGTTCTCGTATCCGCGCAGCGAGTTCCTCCGAGAAAACTCGCCGATCCATCGCATCTGCGAGACACAGGGCGAAATTGACAAAGTCCGATCAAACTAATCGACGATTAACTCGTTCGGCTAACGTGAAAAATAAGAAAGAGTTGTTGTTTAAATGAGTAAAAAATTCTCGTGTTCGCTCCTTATTGTAACCCCAATTGTAAAATTGTTAAAATTAAGTCAAATATTAGCTGTACTATTCCTAATAAATTCCTATCCGCTAATAAATACATAATTATTAACTTTCTAGTTATTATTAAACGGCAAATTATATATTTAAAAAATGCTGTTGGTAATTCTGCCACTCAATCGTCGACTAACAGAAGTTTTGAGGAAGTCACCCACAATCCCAGCAATCCAATGTTTCACTGTACATTAGTGTGATATTTGTCACACGATATCTCAGATAATAATAATAAATTAGATGTATCATTAGAACAATATGTTGCAATCATTTAACTTTCTTTTTTCTCGGAGCACAAGTATGAAAAATAAAGAGTTTCGCGTAAGAAGTCTCACATTCCTACACTTTGGCAGGACGTTAGGGCTAAAATCGGGTTCACTTCTCACTTTCCACGTTTTCTCTTCGAAAAGAAAAACTTACATGATTGCTCTCCAAATGTGGGACAATAAACTCTAATTTAATTTGGAAATATCGACAAAGGCATTGAGTTTCCACTCACCTGATTAGGCGTGACTGTGTAACGATGAATCGACTGGCCGTGACTTTCGAGCGAATTATTAGGACTCAGACTACGATTATTGCTTGTCAGGACGGTAGTTCGATTGTTGGGCGCATCGCGTTGCGTGTCGTTTCTTATAGAACCGTGCAAGTAACCGCCGTTAAAACTGAAGAGATTTTTTTTTTCATTTTATTAACGTGCCTCTTCGTTAGAATTATTATCGTTATTGTTTGAATATGATTACGTTATGTTATTTTGTCATTTCCATTTTATTATAATATATAGGGTGTTCCAGTATTTTCATGACTTTAACTGACCTGGCAATTTCTTGAGCTCTAGCAAATAGAGATACAAATCTTATTCAGGAATATTATATTAAGGTTGTAATAGTTTATAAATAAGAGATGTTTTGAAGGACAAATTAGAGAGCTGAGAATTTACACGCTTTGACATGATACAACGTGTAGTATTAAAGGTGTCCCGTATACCCTTACAGAAATTTAATACCGAATATTACGAAACAAACGAGATAAAACAAACTAATGTTCGATTATTTTGCTTAAATAAAAAAAATGTCATTTCATCATTTGTATCTTTTCATCTTATAATGTATTTCTTCGTGGTTTCAACTATGTAACGGTCACACGTCGTTTCGCCAACCGTGGTCATTGTTTCTTGACTTTAATGGATAAATTGAAAAATTCAACATTTTTTAAATGTATGTAAATACATTACTATTGTAAAGAGTATAAAATACCATAAAACTTTCGTGTAAAATATATTTATACATCTTATTTTCGTAAATATTTGTTAGAAATAAAAGAAAAGTCCGTTATTCTCGAGGGGTTATTTAAATCTCGAAATCTTGAAACATACCGCTAAAAAAATATAGGTTTAATATTTTTTGATGCTTATAACGTATCCAAAACCCATTAAAGTCGGTAAGAGATAATGCCGTTCCCTCGTTTAATTCGTTCCCTTCAGTTTAACTGTTTTATCTGCACATGTTAAAAATTTCCGGACACCCTATATATAAAGAAAAATTTTGAAGATTTATGATCGTTATGTTTTACGAAATTTAAAACAGCAGCGTCACAAAGCTTGTCTGTGTTATGACTCAGCTGCATTGTTAATTAAACTTCTAACTGCTGGATACTTTTTTAATGTAAACTGGGCTACATTTTATTAATTATTAATCACTGAATATGACTATGCGTTAAATTTTGCTTCAAAAGAATGTTGTTGTACAGATCGAAAATAATATTACGTAATTTTATTCAAGCATGAACAAATTTGATAAAAAATGTAGAGATTTAGGACAAGGTGAATTTCTTTGACTCTTCTCTGGTGAAAAAATATCTCAGAATTTTTCATATTATTTTTTTTAATGCTTCATATATGAAATTTTCTTTAGGTTTATTAGAAACAACAGAAAATATTCAATTTTCTTCAGAATTTATATATAAGTACTATATATAAGTATCATATATATAAGTACTTACAATAATTATGAAATATTTCAGATTCTTTTCGCCAACACATCTTTGCATAAATCTGGATAAATATGAGAAAATCCGTACAATTTTTCAGAAATTGTCATCCACTGAAATACCTTGGAAATTCTTATCCTATCATTTTTAGAAGCACCTGAGAAATCATGTTTTTCCAGGATTTTTTATAAGTTTAATACATAAGAAATTGTTTAAAGATTTCGGAAAAATGAGACCTTTTATTACCAGGATTATCAGTCAACTCGCCCTATTTCTCTGAAAAAGATAACTTAGTGAACAATTTTGAGCCGTTTAAAAATTCTTCCATCAAGTTATCTTTGAAAACTCATTCTACTGTACACATTATTACAAACGTGGCTGGCAACCGAAAAAGTAATTCATTTTTTCAAATAACTCGGGATAAATAAGACTTACGTTGGGTTAGACCCGACGAGAGTGCTGCGCCCGTTATTAAGTATAGTGGTAGGACTGGTGTTCTCATCTTCACCCTGCGACCATCGTTTCCTCTTCAGGGACGGCCGTGACAAACGCCACGAGTATCCTCTCTGTATTCTTGGTGGGCTGACGAAAGAAACAAATTATCTTGTACGATATTTATCGTTGATGTAGAGGAAATACATGGATCAAATATAATAGATACCTGGAGCTCGAGTCTCTAGTCTGGGGACTAACTACAGCTGTGACGAGGCTTATCCGTCTCGGAAATTGGCCGACTAGTAAATTATTCGTCGGTATTTTATTGGATACATCGGGTAGCTTCAACAACCCTGAGGGTATGCTACACTGACTCTATAAATACGATGCGTCCTCGTTATTACATGTACATATATTTATATGTATATATGTTTATGCGTACATATATTTTTAACGAACAATAACCGACGGCTGAAATTCTTTGAAAGTTATTCAGTCACGACTTTGCCAACATATACAATGTCACTTCTAAATAATAACTTTTTAAATTACAGTTAAGTGAAATTTCAAATATCTCGTCGACTTTAAACATCCTTCCCGAGTCATGATAAAAAATTTGCCCCGCATATCGTCGACAAGACGACTATATATCGGAAATATAAAATGAACATACACCAGATCGATCGATGGACTCGATCGAAAGGGCAGCGGTGGGATAAACCGCACGGCAATTGAGATCTCTGTAGCCGACATCCAACGTGGTGTTCGGGGAGTCTTGAGGGGTGGCCGCTGTGTGAGTGATTATCGGCGGCTGCCCTACCACGCCCATCATTTTGCTCTCCTTCTGGATGTTACACTTTGGCTCGTCGATCGGTTGCTTCCACACGCTGTTCTGCTTCTCCCGATTGTCCTTGTACTTCCTCAGCTCCTCCGCGCTCTGCCACGAATTCTTTCGATCCTACAGATCGAAGACACGAAGACAAGATGACGTTGCGTCAATCACCGAGATCAATATGCGAGATCGATAGAACTTTCCGATTAATATGATTCGTATACATCAATACTACGGTTTCACAAGAAGATAAACTCGATATAAACATTTGCAATTATTGATATTAATTTAGATTTCACGGATGACTGAAAACTTGAAATATGTTATAGAAAGTGAAGTCCTAAGTAATATACGATTCGAATTGACTATGATTGTTTTTTCTGGTTCCTGTGAAATATTTCAATTAAAAATTTAAAATATTAAAATAGTCACTAAAATTATGATATTAAGTTGCATGTAAAATAGCCAATATTTTAGTTTGACTTCAAACTGCAACATGTTTGTTCAAAATAAATTTTATTAAGAGGGCGGTTCCTACTTTGCCGGGTCAAGAAATCGATTTTTTTAAACATATTTTCAATTCTTATCTATAGAATATCCCTATAAGGTTGTTTATATTAAAATATTATTTAAATTTCGTATATTGACGGAACAACGGCAGCGACAACCGCTCGCTGCATTGCTGTCTGCGTGCCGTTCAGTGTATTATACTTCGATTTATTTATTAGGAATAACCGGACAATCACCTGGGTGTACGTGTCGCTGTCGGAGATTGAATGTGACCTTGACATCTTCGACGATCCATCCTCGCTACCCATCCCGGCCTCCTTCGCAGCGAGCTTCTTCTCCATTTCCCTCTGTTCTCGTTCTCTTCTCTCGTTTCTCTGCGAAACATATCATTTATTACATTATATTGAAATGTTGTCCATGTGTTTGTCGTTTTTGCTAAAATCCAAATACAGAAATTAAAGAAAAAATCCGTACAGTCGGTGTCACGTACACTGTACCATTCTACAGAAAGAAAATTATACGATTTTCAGCAGGCGTCCGATAAGAAAACTTAATTTCCAAGAATTATTTGAAGAGAAAGAAGAATCCTCTTATCGAGCCGTCAGAAAAAATATTTAAACAATATTGAAAACAAATGTAATATTAAGGCAAGAGAATTGTATACCAAATTTAAGGAAAATTCGACATTTATATTTAATTTCAAAACAATGAACACATTTTTTCAATGGAACGTATAAGAAATGGTCATAATTACGAGTCGTTACTTACGAGCTTACGCGGCAATCGGTTATGAAAAGAGCCGGGGTGACAGTAAATGACACCCGACGTCATAAATGCGATGGGAGATTCAGGAGAAACATAATATAAACGTAATTATACAGTACGAAACGTAAGTATACAGTTGTAATTTAGATCGAGAACAAAGGTCCTCCACTATTTTGCAAACAATCGCGCAAAATTTTGAGTTATTAATTACTGAGAACTGATTATGACATGTTAACTGCCACGTCGACTTCTACGGACCGGCGCTCAATTCTTTGTTTGGGCTACGCCAGCTGCAATGTTTTGTTGATTGCCTTTTGGATCGGGCCACTTTAAATCTTGACTATCAGCGTTTATACATATATCGTTTATATGTACACTGTCTAACGAATTATCATCTTTAGATGAACATAATACACAACGACGTCATTTTTTAGGCGGCAAAATTACTTCACTAGATGTATCACTTTCTGATTCTACCAGCATTAAAAATGTTATTTTCTAGATCTGCTCTGGAGAACGAAACTGTACTGTTGCTCTGGAGAACGAAACTGAATTGTGTCTTAAGTGTGATTGATGATTAGTTAGTTGTCCCGGCCTTTGTTCCTCGTTATTTTTTGTTTGCACTTTAGCTCACGCACCGCGCGTGACTCTCTAGTTGTCTGGATGGTAATGTGTGACGTAAACGGAAAGTGAAACAAAATAGGCTCGGCACTTAACGTGTTAAAGAAAAACTAAAAGGACGGAGATGATTTCGAATGATGAGAAGCTCATGGCAACGTGGAAGAACGCATGCGCAGATCAGCCTCCGAAAAAGTGGCAGCAAATCTTCAATGATTGCTTTGTTCAAAGAATAGAAAAATGTATCAAATGTAATTGTAAAGTGATTATATTTTGAAAGAACGTAAATAAATAAATTTATTGCGATAAAACGTAAAATCGAATGAGAGATACATTATTGGTGTTACCGATCGGTGCGTACCTCCGACGAAAAGCCTTCGACGAGAATAGCGACCAGAAGATTGAAAAGAACGTAGTTGCCGAAGGTCATCAACGCTACGAAGTAAAGCGCGGCCCAATGCGAAGTTTTCTGCATACCGTTGAAGAGGACAACGTTCCAGTCTTCCTGCGTGAGGATCTACGTAAAAGAAAAGCGAGGGGAAAAGACTCCCGCTACATATATAATGGCGCACGTATCTACGTTTATCTGATAAGACATGTGATCGGCAAGACGTTCTTTTTCTCAAAGCGTGCTGAAAATTTTGCCTTACTGTAAGGAAACATGCGCAGATAAGTAAGAGTCTCACATACGTCTGATTGAAATTTCAAGTTTACTTTTTGGTATATATTTACAAGATTAACGAGTGCGCTGAAATAATTCAGATTTTTAGATAAATAAAACAGTATAACGCACGAGTGTGCAATACTTTCCACATTGGTAACCATAATTTTTAGGTGATTTTATAATAAATAAATAATTATTATTATATCCTGATTATTCCTCCTTACGGTATTAAAAACGGTAAAGGAATATTCGATGCAATTTTGTCCGTAAAATGTGTTTTTCTTTTGTAAAACACAAAATTTAGGAATATTCTATATATACCAGGTGTATGCATAAGTTTTTTCCGGTTTAACTAAGAGATGGCGCCAGCGAAAAGTACGCAGCGTATTAATTTGACACATACGTCATTTTGTTCGTCTGACATTTAAAACTACAAACACACACAAGTTGAGTCCGCCAAAAACTAGCGTCTTTGTTTTATCGTTCAGTGATCATGTCGAGTTTTGTGCCTGAAAAAGAACATTTGCGGCACGCATTGCTTTTCTTATTTAATCAAAAGAAAAAGGCTGTTGAAAGTCATCGTTTGCTGGTAGAAACATATGGTGAACACGCTCCATCGATTAGAACATGTGAGACATGGTTTCGACAATTTAAAAATGGTGATTTCAATGTGAAAGACAGTGAGCGCTCTGGTAGACCACAAAAATGCGAAGACGAGCAATTGCAGGAGTTATTGGATGATGACCCAACTCAAACTCAACGGCAATTAGCAGAAGCATTACATGTATCACAAGAAACAATCAGCAGACGTTTACGAGCAATGGGAAAGATCAATAAACTCGGTAAATGGGTCCCACACAATTTGAATGAACGTCAAATGGAAAATCGCAAAGTCACTTGTGAAATGCTGCTTCAACGCCACGAAAGGAAATCATTTTTGTATCGAATTGTGACGGGTGACGAAAAATGGATTTATTTTGAAAACCCGAAGCGGAAAAAATCGTGGCTTTCACCTGGCGAAGCCGGTCCATCAACACCAAGGCCAAATCGCTTCGGCAAGAAGACCATGCTCTGTGTCTGGTGGGACCAGAGCGGTATTGTGTATTATGAACTCTTGAAGCCCGGCGAAACCGTTAATACACAACGCTATCGCCAAC